GCTCTATAAACACGCATATGTGGGCAGCATTGATTGAACTCAGTAGGGTATATTCTCTAAATAAATAAATGAATGAATAAGGACAAGAAGTGGCCAAAGGGACTAAGTGGAGACTCTCACAGGAGTTGGGGCAGGGAAGTGTGTGGATATGATCAAAATGCATTTTATACATGTATGACGAAATTCTCAAAAAATAAAGAATAACACACGTCTGAAACACTAAATAAAATGAAGACACTTCAAAGGCTATATTATGGCCATGAGTACAGTCCTCTTAGCGATGTACAGTTCTCTTAGTGATGAGGGAACCCTATTTCCATTTCTGCAAAATCTTCTCAGTTTGCAGGATCACGGCTCCATCTGTGCAGTTGCTGGCTTGTTGCTGCATATTGCCCCAGTGTTGAAAAACAAGCCATCCGCCAGTTTAAATATTATTGACTCATTGACTGAATTCTTTTACTAACAGGGCATGTTGTGATGAAAGACCAGCCTTTTGTTGTTCTTAGAGCACTTACTTGAGCTGTACGTGCAACTCTCCCTAGCACCTTTTCATTTTGTTCTTCAGAAGTAATACATTTATGATCAGGCTTTGCAGTTTGCTATCATAGCTACAAAGATTGTAGGAGAGAGTTGCATAGGAACTATACAGTCATTAACCTTTTTTCTTCTTTTTTTTTTAAATTGGGGTATTACTGTGTAGTTCTGGCTGTCCTGAAGTCAGTATATAGACCAGACTGGCCCTGAATGCACAGAAATCCACTGCCTGTACCTCCCAAGTGCAGAGATGAAACGGATTAAAGGGCATGTGCCACCATATCCAACCTACAGTCATTAACTTTATAGAGCTTTGAAAATATGAAATTGTTAACAAAAATGCAAATATCCTATGATGGTTTGAACAAGAATGGCCCCCATAGGCTTACATATTTGAATGCTTAGTCAGGAGATGGCACTACTTGAAAAGGATTAAGAGGTGTGGCCTTGTAAGAGGAAATGTAGAGCCTACTGGAGATAGGCCTAGAGGTTTCAAAAGCTCATGTAAAGCCCAAAATCTCTCTCTTGGGTTACACATCAGGATTCATCTCTTAACTACTTCTTCAGCACCATGCCTGCCTACTGCCAAGCTTCCTGCCATGATGATAATGGACTAAACCTCTGAAACTCTAAGCAAGCCTTCAATCAAATGCTTTCTTTATGAGAGTTGCCTTTGTCTCTTCATAGCAATAGGACAGTGACTAAGACATATCTATATTTCCTTCCTTTCCAAACCAAAAGCAATTTTCAACACCCCAGGCTTAGAAATTCATCAGTTCTTGTATACATTTCATGAATGCCATTACCTGGACCACTACTAAAATAAGAGCAACCATCAGTGTGGATGCAGAATAGACCAATGGCCCAATGGTGTACTATTAGAAGGAAAAATTATACATGCAAGCATCTTTGTGCTGAAACTCACACTAAAGGTTAAATTGTGGTGAATAATAATAAAACAGGTAGCATTTAATTACTCATTGCACATTTTACCTTTAAAACAATTCCTTTATTGGGGTTGGGGGCTGAGACAAGGCTGACACTAGATAGCCCAAGCTAGCTTGGAACTTGAAATCCTCTTGCCTCAGCCTCCCAAATTCTGCATTACAGAAATATACCACCATACCATCAGATGGTATGTGCTATTATTTTGGTTTTGGGTTTTTTTTTTTTTTTTTTTTTTTTGTTTTTTGGAGAGGGTTTTTTTGTGATCCTGGTACTCACTCTGCCTCCCGAGTGCTGGGATTAAAGGCGTGTGCCACTAATGCCTGGCAGTATGTACTATTATTCACATCTTATAGAACAGAAAGCTGATGACAAGCTGCCTGGGGAGAGTGAACTTGCTCCAGTCATATATTTGGCATCATTCAACAGTACTGAAAGATCTACACTGGTACCAACTAGAGGGAGTGGGAATTGGTGTCCCGAGAGCAATCCAGGACTGATGCTTCACACAGCCTAAGGAGCACAGATCAAAAGGAAGCTATAACCCTGCTTCCTGTACTTACACTGCATATGTGAAGCTGGCTCAGTCCTCAGTGCCACATTTTCATAAAAAAAAATCCCTGCTGGCAGGAAAAACTTCATGGAAAACCCCTTGCCATCTCTCTCCTTCCCTTCCCCTCTCTCTCCATCTGTCTCTCTGTCTCTCACTCCCTATCTCTGTCTCTCTCTCTCTCAACTTGAACACACTCAGTGATGCTTTCCTCAGTCCAGTAATAATTTGTCTGCCAGCATCCAATTAAAAGAAATGAATGGAAGTTTCCATTAGCCATAGGCAGGATGCGGCCAACACCAGATCTATCTTTTTGTGTTTGTGACAGGTATGCAGACAAACCTCTAAGTCAGCTACACAAACACCTCAAACCACAAAACAGCTGAGTGGTAATTATTTTCCTTTAGATAACCTTGTTGAATAATTACTCATATTTGTGTAACAAGTCACTGTACAGACTTTTGCATAAATACACAAACATATATATGAATGTATATGCACATAAATAAATAGGAAGTTCAAAATCATCAATGTTTGTGAGTTTCTTTCCCTTACTTCCTTCTTTCCTTTCTTTTCCTTCTTTCTTTCTTCCTTCCTTTCTTCCTTTCTTTCTCCCAGTATTGGGGATTGAACCCAAGGCCATGCATATACCAAGCAAGCATTTGACCTACTGAGCTATGTCCCAAGCTAGTATTTTCACTGTCCAGACTTCTCTCAACCCCAGAATGATGGCCTCCATCCATAGGTTTTAGACATTCTCTCTCCAAGAAGAACTCCACATAGCTGCATTTCTCTGGTGGGGGACAGGTGTAATTATTTTAATACCTACAACAATACAAGCTGGTTTGGGGCTTTGGTTTTGAGGCAGATTCTCACTCTGTAGTTCAGGCCATCATGAACTATATAACCCAGAATGGCAATGAACTTGTGGAAACCCTTCTGCCTCAACCTCTTGAGTTCTGGGATTACAGGCTGTGATGGCTATTCTTGGTTGTCAATTTGACTATATCTAGAATTAACTAAAATTCAAATGGTTGGGCATACCTGTGATTTTCCTTAATTAAGTCATTTTATGTGGGAAGGTCCACATTTAATCCATATCTTCTGAAATGGGAAGATCCATAGTTAATCTGGGCCACACCTTCTGGTGGCAGCCTCTATAAAGGACATGGAAAAAGGAAGGTCTTGCTTTTTGCCTGTTTGCCCCTGATCTCACTGCCAAGTTCATTCCCTCACTGGCATCTGAGCCTACTTCTTAGGGATTTCAGGGTTTGGTGAAGACGAGCTGAGACACCACTGGATTTGTGGACTTTCCATTGGTAGACAGTCATTGTTGGACTAGATGGGCCATTATAATAAAGCTCCCCCCCCTCTCATTATAATATAATGAATATATGCCTGTTCTGTTTCTCTAGAGAACCCTAGGTAATGCAAGGCATACACCATCATGTCCCACACAAGTCACATTTTAATGTGTGGGTTATTTGTACATTACCACCTCTGCTCTATGCATGTTCATCTGAATATTGAAATCTCAATCTCACATTTCTCTGCCATGCTCTTAAAAGTATGGTCTTAACGTTAATATCTATTTATTATCCTTAACCTAGACAAGAAGACTTGTGGGTGTGATACCCAGTGTTCTCATCAGCATCGTAACTAAGTAACCCGTGAGATGCTCCTCTCTTCATTCACCACCTAGATAGAAATCGGTGTCCCCAGTGTCTCTGTCCCCTCTACCTCTAGAGAAAGGGGGATGAATTATAACCCCAGCATATCTGGGAGTAATATCACACAGCCTCTCATAAGCTCAAAAAAAGTCTTTAACTTTTATACCATATTCACTTTGTATCTGGTCTATCATGTAATCACATTTACTTACCATAAATATGAAAAGGCTTAGCCTCAGAATCCAGAAGTGAAAGTGGATATTCCATAAATATATTTCACATGCCCTGGGCTTATCTCATCCCAGGATTCTGCTGGACTCAATCCACTAGGCCTTACTCAAAAACTGTGAAATGCCTATTAATTTTTATTTTAGGGAATACCATCCTATAGTTACTTGTACATCACTGCATCCACAATACTCATCACTAAATTTTATAATGCAAACACCTACTCCTCACTCTATTATAGCAAACACAGAGTAACTTGCTCAGAATAAGCCCTTTTCCATAAACCTTGTGTCCTATAAGTCAACACTTAACTATTCTAAAAATATCTTAATGACTTTGAACACATTTTTATTAAAAAATTGATAATGACTTAAGTTTGGATTGAGAGATACTAAATGAATAAGATATGCAATCACATTCTCCACTCAAATGTTGCTGTGCTCTCTCCTGACTTCATGATATAAATCTTCTACTAGTATATTATATATTATTGTGTATGTATGTTCACATAGCTATCTGCCTTCCTTCTTTCTTAGCATATCTTCCTTACCAACATTGCACAGCCGGGTTAAACCAAAAGGTCCCACTTACCCATTAGAGGCATCCAATCTTAACTTCCTTTGTTTAATTTCATGATTTAACTCATAAAAACTGAATTGGCATTTTTCCTTCTATAGTTTAAGATAATCTACTTAAACATCATTTAAAAGAAGAGATTTTCCTAGCAATCAAGAAACAATAAAATGTGAAGTAGAATCCAGAGGATAGGGTTCCCCGCTCTTTAGATTCATCCTAACCATGCCGGGGCCTCCCCCAATTACCTCATAAAACTAAGAATAAAAGACACATCACTTCCTTGTTTGAGGTGATCAAAAAGTACTAAGCTGGCTATGTTCCCATCACGGTGCCCCTGATGTCATTTCCTCATTGAATAGCATGCTGCAGATACATCAGATGTCAAATTCAGTACTATGGTTCCTCAGAGAACACCAGGTAAGGTCCTTTGGAAGGAGCATAAGCTCATCCCTTCCTGCACAGAGGGTAAGTGCAAGCATGATACAAGGTTTCCTCACCTGGGTCGGGCGGCAGGCAAGCGCAGGAGAACTGTGTGTTGTACCCCACTTTGAAGTTGGAGTTGATAGGATAGTAATCCGCTAGCTTGATCATCTTCTTGAAAGCATCATAGATGAAGATGAAGCTGATCAGAGAGGAGAAACCTTCTTCCGTGAAACGAGTGAAGTACTGGACCAGGAAGCTGGCATCAGTGGCCACCAGAATGAGACACAAGAAGGCCGACCACAGGCCGATCCAAAGACGAAACTCCAAGTAGTCAAAATTATGGTCCCTGGAAAGAAAAACAAAAAGCATAACAGATATTTTAGCTATCCCACCAGGAAACAAGCAGAATCTAAAAAAAAAAAAAAAAAATCACTGAAATACCTATAGAATGGTTACTAAAAGATCACTTTCAGACACTGCATATAAAGCTCAATTTTATCCAGGAAATATTAAGCTTAAAGATTTGGTTTTATGATATTATTTATGCTATCTTTAGGAATTACTCTAAAAGGTTTTTTTTTTTTTTTTGAGGGGTGGGGATCAGCTCTTAGAAAGTTCATTTAATGTTAGTGTGTATAACTCACTAATTTTCTCTTTCAAAAAAATAACTTCTGAGGTAGAAGCTTCCTCCTTGCTAGCTGGCTTTCATAGATCCAAAGGGTAACTATGAAGGCTTCTGGGAAAGAAACAGTAGCCATGCCTTCACCCAGCTTTGAACCCCATGAGCTACAAACTGCTGTGCACCAGTGGCCTGACTGTGCCAGAGGAAACCAATTACTCTGATTGGATTAGAGGCCTGTTGTACCAAAGGAACCCCATGGCTAGTACCAGAAATCTGCTAGACACCCATAGCTGGGGAGGTCACAGACCCTAGACAGGAACTTTATAGTAGGTAATTACCAATACGGAGTCAGGTAGAAATATAAGGGTATTTAATAGGGATAAGCCTTACTTACAGAGCGAACCAGCCAGCCGGTGGTAGTCTGTACAGCAAGAAGCAAAGAGAAACCGAAACCGAAAACGCAGTCCCCCTACTCACTCTGACCACGCCCTCACAAGCCCTCAGGTACTCCTGTAGCCAGCCCCTAAGAAGGCGTGGCTACAGCTTCCCCTACAATTCCCCTTTTAGTCTAAAAGAGGATTAAAACTTAACAGTATAAAGGTAAAATAAACCAGATACAGTGTAAAAATACCTACTAAACATTTATGTTTATAGACAAATGTTGTCCTCACTTTAATCAGAAAATCAATCCCCTCTTTCCGGTGAATGACAGTGAAACTGGAGACTCATGAATTCTCAAGATGCTGATAATATTTGATAATTAACTGGTCAGTCCTATATAGATATTTATAACATCTTTGCAAGGCTGAAGGAGTACTGCAACAAAGTGGTCACAGAATATATGAGATTGAGGATATCTGTGCCATCTTCTGGGGAAGACAAAAATTACAATCACAGATTAGCACTACTTGTGTTTATTGCACTAGGTCTATATAAAAATAAAAACAAAACAGCCATGAATTGGTGGGGCACAATTTCAAGGATCCCTGTAACTTATGAATGATCTATTAGCTATAGGCAGATTCTGGGAGATACCTACCCATTGGCAAACTCACCAGATTTCAATGATTATAGCAAGCATGGTCACACAAAGCACCCTAGTTGAACTAGCTGGGTCACAAAACATTGAAAGGGTTATCAATCTGGAAAGGGACTTCCAGGGATAAGAAAAGGGTTCATAGGGAAGGAGGGGAGATAAGAAATGATAGGAGATAAGAAATAACCACAATGCATGTATGAAATTGTTAAAGAATAAGCTTAAAATTTTTTTAAAAGTTTTTTAATGTATTCATGGAGTGTACAGAGTATTTAGAAAGCACTGATACCAGATATGTATGGGGCAATGTGACTTTTACCAATGAATGATGACAACACTAACATCAATATGTTCTATGCACTCAACTTCGGACTGCCTTCTACTAAGGGAGACAAAATAATAAAGGCAATTACATTATAACATGCTGAATGATAGTGTCATGAGGGAAAAGGATACGTAATTTTGGGAGGGGATGAAGTTGCAGACAGGAAATCTAGGTATTTGAGAATACCTATGAAGAAACTTTCTTAACTGAATAGGGAAAGGCAGGTCAGAAAGCAGAAGAAGAGTTTAAAAGATCTGTGGTATGAGGCAGTCTGTAATGTGCACTGTGGATGGAGCATAACCAACAAGAGGAGGCAGAAGAGATACGGGCTGTTATCAGATCAAGACTGCCTTGCCATGATGCAGCCAAACACTACAGCTTCTCATTTGAGTGCCCACATAGAGGATATCTTTTTACTATAACTAGATATGTCTACCTTGTTCTGCCTGGGCTTGTTCCATAGAAGACTTAGAATAGGCCATCACCATCTAACTAGGCTACTGTCTTACAATTCCCTTCCCATTTCTTCTAAGTTAAGATCAATAGATAATGATGGGTCAAGTATTGATATTTTATGTTTATCTTACAATTATGTGGAGAGTGGGCGTTTTTTTCCTTTTTATTCAAATTAGAAACAATCTTATTTTACATATCAATCCCAGTTCCTTCCCCCTTCCATCCTCCCATGCTTCCTACAGCACCCCCATCCCATCCCTCTTCTGTTCTCCAACGAGGGTGAGGCCTTCCCTTCCTACCGCACCCCCATCCCATCCCTCTTCTGTTCTCCAACGAGGGTGAGGCCTTCCATGGGGGAATCATCAAAATTTGTCATGTCATTTGAGGCCGGCCCTAGGTCCTCCCCTGTGTGTCTAGGCTGAGAGAGTATGAAAGTGGGTGGTTTTTTTTTAATGATTATTAACTCGTAATTTATTAATGTGGATTAATACTTCTGTATACTGTGAAAACGTGTTGCTCTCATTGTTAATAAAAAGCTGATTGGCCAATGGCTAGGCAGGATAAGGTTAGGTGGAAGAACCAGACCTAGAGAATGCTGGAAAAAAAGGAGGAGGAGGAGTCTGAGGAGACACCATGAGATACAGAATGGGCAGGATGGGAAATATATACATGAGGTAAATGAGCCTCAGGACAGCACATGGATTAATAGAAATGGGTTAATTTAAGTTATAAGCGCTAGCTAACGACAAGCCTAAGCTATAGGCCAAGCATTCATAATATTAATTCCCTATGTGGTAATTTGGGGAGCACCTAGCAGCACTGAAAAGTCTGCCTACCAATGGTATCCAAACATCTGGCACCTATATCCACATAAGACCTAAGAAACCTTTAAAAAGATTCTAAACACACAAAAACGTAGCCATGTCTCTCATGTGGGCCATGGTATAGAGATGCATCTCTCAGTCGCTGTCTGCATGCTTGAGTTGCCAGTGCGAGCACCACCAAAGCAAGCCCTACTGACATGCCATGAACTAAACTGCATGGCAGGTTTAAGTTTAGCTCATGAAGATACAAAAGATTACAGATATGCAGTAAAGACACATCCAGATTGGGGGGGGGGGCTTAAATGGGTTACAGTATCTTTAAAAATGTACATAGGCTTAGGAGAGAAAAGAGAAATGCTATAGAGCAACATGGAAAAAATAATTTAAAAATAATTAAGTCAAGGTAGTTTTGTGAGAATGATTCAAATGAGATCACTCATAAAAACAATGCCAATGTTACAAACCCACACACAACCTTAAAAGTTTCAAGAAGAAACCAAAAAAAATGAGAATCTGTGAAGCATATCAAGTGGTGATGTGTGATAACTATCCCTGATCTTGCCAAAGAAGGACTCACCTACACACCTGAAAGGGAAAATTATGTTGGGGAAAAACTGGGCAAGATGAACTAATGACTGCCTAACTAAACAGCCATGCTGACTCTTTAGTGCAGTGAAAAGGAAAGTGAAGGAGCCAGTGGCGATTGCAACACATTACTTCCAAGACATACTGAGAAGCTTTTCTTCACAGAACAGCTCATAAGCCTGGTAGTGGGTCACACTGGCCTTAGGAAACAGTGAGCCACGAGGAAACACTAGCATTACTGCTCTAACAGAAGCAGATGAACAAATTCACAGCATCATAAATAAAAGTACCATTTGTCCATAATCGGCAGTGTTGACTTTAAGGCAGTTTTGCAAATGTTTCTCATTGCTTTACAACTGTTTTCAAATAAATTGCTTGAGACTATGTAACAGTACCAATTATGATGAAACAGACGGGAAAGTGAGAAGGGAACTTACTCGGTGGAAGGAAATACTCTGTAGCCTACAGTAATTAAAACAAACCAAGACACACAAACATTTTCTGTAGACTCAGACTCTGATCACATCTCATCCAATAAATCTCGTTGTAAGGGTCTGCCTGTTTGTTCCTGTTTATAGCGCACGCTTGTTTAATTTTCCCATGAAGCCTTTCTTGTCTCACAAAATGTTTTCTTAAACATATAAAAACTGTTTGACTCTCTCTGTAAACTGACGTGAATAAGATTCTTTCCAAGTCCTCAGAATTATGGTGGAGGAGGAATCTGTAATAATGATCTACAGAAAAGTCATCATTTTATTTACATATTGCAACTCCAAGGCCTCAGAAGGCTTTCCCTGTTGTTATCCACCAGGTTTTTTTTTTTTTTTTTGTTTAAAACCCCCCCTTGTCTCATGGCACTTTTGAAACTTTTTAATACAAGGGAATTCTACAAAGGAATACTCACAAAACTTAACAAACTGTCATCTAAGGACAAGCTCATCCTGAAAAGGCAATTCTGTCTTAGAAATATTTCAGGAACAGCAGGAAGAGACAAGAATATCCGATTTTACTTTGAACTCACTCACATGCTAAAATAACAATTTAAATAATTGTCTTATCTTAATATCCCCCAACTTAAAAAGATGCATTATCTTCTAAAAAAAAAATTAGTGTCACTATTATTTACCTGTGTACTGGAAGCTATCTACAGTGAAGAACACAGGAACTGGAGTTAGGAACCATGCATTAACAACAAGGCATTTGGTTTCTTCACTGTTTCAGTCTCATGGCAGAAAAGGGCATTTTTAAGTGTGATCCGAGAAAAACAAAATAAACAGGCTATTTACGAAAGCCTGTCTCTCCCTCCTCCTAAAATGGCAATGTGGAGGCACTCGGAGCTAACTAGAGCAGGAAGCCATTATCAATCTCGGGCTTGTAAAGGTCAGACAAGGAATGGAGTTACAAGAGACTGGTGAGCTAAAACTAGGCTAGACAGGCTACCTGACAGGGGCTAGTGTCAGAAAGCAAGCCATACTGCTGTGCTGAAAGCAGGAAAAGATGGGAAAAAGTGACATACTGAAACTCTGATCCCTCTTCATTATCTAAACCAGCAGGAAGCCCTAGAGGGCAAAGAATCTGGGGCTTGAAGTCCTTGGGAGTGAGCCCTCAGGACAAGTAACAAAGCAATAAGGAAGAGAATTACTGGGGAAGGAATAAACAGAAAGCACAACAGATGGACCTATAAAAATGAGTGTCAACTAAGCTCTGGACAACTTAATCATGAAGCACTTCTCACTTCCAATTCTTACCATTCTAGTATTTTGGCGGATTCTTGGATCGAATTCATTACTATTCTGTGCTTTATACAGATGGAACAACATACAAGAGCAAATAACTAGACAGATAGACAGACATATATACATACTTGCTGAAATTAAACAGAAGCCTTTCAAATACCAAAACAGGTCCTGTGCTGCTCAAAATGGTGAGAGGTTGACCAGCAAAAAGGCAAAAGATGGCTCCAGAGACAGCAGTACCCAGGAAACTCTCCAACACACCCTAAAAGAAAGAACATGCAGTTGGTAAAGCAAAACAAAGCCAAACACATTTCTTTTCTTCCTATTGGTGATGTCAGCTGAAAAATGAAGATGTGTATATTATAAGGGGCTCCCTCACAAACAAAACAAGAACAAAGGCTTATCCAATTTCAGATACCACCACAGTTCTTTTCACATACATAAAATTAATCTTCCCTATTCCAAAGGTTAATTGTTCTACAAAACTGCAATGACTTAGACAACTGGTATACAGGAGGCAATGGCATTTCTGACTGCTACTTAAAAACATATGGAAGGCTTGGTCAATAAAACTCATCTTCTGTAAATCCACCAAACAGAAGAATTGATTTAGTTTTTAAAAATCTATTAATTGGACCTAGCTATAATTTTAACACAAAGTCTTTTTTTTTCCTAATAGAGAAAATTTGAAGGGGAGATGAGAACAAAGGAAGTGAAAATAGTGATGCAGTTTTAAAAATTATTTTATCTGTTTTTAAATTTCATACATGTATACAATGCATTTTAATTATATCCACTCCTGCTCACCATACGGAATCACTCTTGGACATCACCTTTCATATCCACCCCCAATTTAATATCCCCTTCTTTACTTTCTTCATAAGCCACTGAGTCCAGTAAGTTGCGCATGCACGAGTGAGTAAAGGGCCATCCACTGGAACATGAACAACCTAGGAGAGGTCACATCCTGGAAGAAAACCAATTCTTTTCTCCAACCAACCATCAACTGCCAATAGCTCTCTGCTAGCCATTTGCAATTTTTAAGCCACCAATTGTGAAAATGATAATAATAATAATAATTCTCAGGCTGGAGAAATGACTCAGAGGCTAAGAGCATTGGTGCTCTTCCAAAGGTCCTGAGTTAATTCTCAGCAACCACATGGTGGCTCACAAGATGATATCTGGTGCCCTCTTCTGTCCTGCAGGCAAATACATAGGCAGAACGCTATATACATAATAAATAAATAAATAAATAAATAAATAAATAAATAAAATCTTAAAAAAAATAATTCTCATTACATGCTCATGCATTTTCCAATGCAAACTGCACAAAAAAGTAAGACTTTCTTGTTAGAGAAAATAAATGTGTGGAGCCGTAACTAGCTAAAGCTCTTGTTAATGTCTCTGAACACCAACCCACTGTCTTTCTTTAGCACAACAAGAAACAATACCTGTGAGAATCACTAACTCACAAAACGTCCTTCCTTAATCATGCCAGTGAGGGCCAGCAGTATTGATAATGACAAACTAACTTGTTTCCTATATTTTTACTATTGTAGAAGATAGAATGGCATAAATGTATGTGTAAAGGTGTTACAGAAATATAACAGGATACGTAATAAGAATAAAATTGGTATTTTATTGTGGGAGATTACTTACACCGAAAACCCAGGTTAGTCTCAGCAACCTTTACCCTACAGGAACTCTGAAAAGAGAGCTAGAGCCCCCTTCCCAGTTCTTTTATCCCATCCATTGTGAATACCACTTGGGCGTGTCAGCGCTACAGGTACTCGGGATTACTCCCTACATAAAGTGGTAGATATTTTTGTAAACATAAAATAAGATTTAACCAAGATTTTCAATCACATTTAATTTATGTCGCTGGGTGTGGGGTGCAGAGGTGGCAGTCAGAGGACAAGGTGCAGCAGTTGGCTCTCTCCTTTCACTTTTTGGATTTCAGGAATTAAACTCAGTGATCAGGGTTGCCAACAAGCTTCTTTACCTGCTGAGCCATCTTGCTGGCCATCAAGGATAGTTTTAAAATGCAAAAGGATGGCACAAATTATCATACACGATGCTATATATCTAAACATTCAAATATGAATATTTAAAGCTTTTTCAAATGAACAAAGGTAGTCTATACCTTTGAAAGGTACAATAACATACTCAGGGGTAGATTAACATAGTAGAATATTATCTTTATACCTTTATGTGTATAGTAAAACATGAGGGGGATATTTCAAAAGGACTCACCTTAGACAAAAAAATATAAGCAACTAAGACCAGGAGAACTAGCCTTCCTCAGGGAAAAGCCCCATAATTGGTTTACTGGTTATCCAATACAAAGTGGTCAGCCTTGAAATATCGTATATACACAGGTAACATTATACAGACTGAGCATATTATATTTATGTATTTAGGAATATGTGTGTGTGTCAACAATTTAAGAAAAAGAGGCTATGAATATTAGCGAGCAAGTGGGTACATGGGACAGGTTCAATGGAGGAAAGGGAAGAGGGAAAATGATGTGATTATATTCTAAGTTAAAATGTTTTAAAGTAAATATATATAGGAGAGCCCTTCTTCTATAAATAGTGCATCATCTACTCTTGGAAGGGTGATTTATGTTCAACAAAACAGTCCTCTTAACTCAATCATCCCTGACTGGGACAGAGTAGATTTCTGAGGACTCTGAGGTGCCCTTCAGACATTACCTTGTCAGCCTCAGTGGGCTACCTCTTTCAATGTCTCAAATCTTTTCCAGCAGCTTTTCATTCACTTCCTATTTTCAAAGTAAACATATCACACAGGAAATAACTATGGAAAACCGACTGTTAAAAATCAATTTACAAGCCAGGTGTTGGTGGCGCACGCCTTTAATCCCAGCACTCGGGAGGCAGAGGCAGGCGGATCTCTGTGAGTTCGAGGCCAGCCTGGTCTCCAGAGCGAGTGCCAGGATAGGCTCCAAAGCTACACAGAGAAACCCTGTCTCGAAAAACCAAAAAAAAAAAAAAAAAAAAATCAACTTACAGAAATACATTAAGTTCTATCCCTGGTTGGGTATGGTGGCACACCTTTAATCATAACACTAGGGTCAAGGCAGGTGGATCTCTGTGAGTTCAAGGCTGACTTGGTCTACATAGCAAATTCCAGGGCTGCTTAATGAGACCACCCCACCCATGTAAAGAAAATTAGTCCCATCCCTAGCCACTATCTGGATCCCATGGTGATTGAAAATACTTGTGCATAGCTTTAGAGCCAGCAACACTGCCCTTGGAGCAACATTAGTGATAGAAAATGCCTCTTCCTTCAGTGTTGGGATTGGAATCAGAAGGCAGATGCCAAAGAAACGGAGGTGGGAGGAGGTGGCCAAATGGTAAGAGCTGGCAAGTAATTAGACTGGCAGTTCTCACAACAAGTAAGCCAGGTCGGCTACGGCCCAGACAGGCCCTGTCCATGGAGAGTGCTGGTTTGAACTAGCAGGAGGAGCACATAGAGAACCCCACTTTCACATCTGAGTGCCAATGAGTAGCTTGAAAGGTGCCATTCATTATTTATAGCTATCCCAGCTAATTCTTCCTCATAGAAAACAATTGAAGCAGGAAGTGAAACAATAGAACCAAGATGTGCTTAGACAGACAAGATGGAAAGGGACCCCCTCGTCCCCCAAATAGTATTGTCTTGATTTCCTGACTGTTAACATCTTGACATTCAGGTGAGCTAAATGATGTGAACACACTGTGGATAAGAACTCTTTGATGTGTGTGCCTGTCTAACCACACATCACTCTCTGCAAATATTAAATCGGTGCCTTAGGCTTGGGTTTTCCTAGAAATGGAAATTCTCAGCTCCTGTGCATAAACAAGGGGTTTTTACAATTTTATCTGGAATTTTTCATTTCTTACCTGAAAGCTAAGAATTTAAAGGCTTCATTTGACCCACTTACATGGCGGTATGTGTTGTTCATATGACAGTCTAAGTACACATCACAAGCAAAGAACAGTGCATCCTCCTCCATCATCATACAGAGAAATCCCCACGTCTTACCATTAGCATAGGATCAAAACACATCTCAGACTGGGTGTAAAATCGGAAAGGAGAAACTTGAGATTAGGATCCTCGGCTTGACTTGATATAGCCATTAATCTCTGTAAGGGCAGGAACAAGGTCTTCCTGCATCTCCTGTTTCTCCTCCCATAGTGCTGTCTACCATCCCTCCACCACGTGCTCTTCGGGTCCTCAGCAAGAGCTGTAGGAACTGAAGACATGCCCAGATGACACCCTAGGTTTCCTTATCAAAGGTCAAGAGCCCTTGTTGCTCATTCGGTAAAGATAGCAACCAGTTTCTTCCAGAAGCCCACTCTGATTTATGGAAGCTGTGTGATGGTTCAAAGGCAGATTATTTTTATTTCAGTACTCGATCCTGTCATAAATGCTAGCTTTCCATCCTGTGGTTGAAGCTGAGACTGGTGATTCATTATATACACTGCACTGGAAACTTGCTTAAACTGAGAGATACTTACAGCATTTCTGAGAAAAGAACTATTTTCACCACATTTTGACATGTTCCTCTTCACAACACAGAATTTTTTTTTAAACAATTCCAGGCAAAGAATAACTTTAGCTATAACAAGTTTAATGCAACTTAGAAAATTGTCATAAACATCTTTTCTAATTTATCACATTCAGTGTTCACTAATATTTGATTTTCCAAGATAACTGCATTGAATTGTGTCTTGTCAATAGCCACGGGTCTTAAAGACATTTCTACATCTAACTTTTAGAAGGAAAAAATTTCCTATCACTTCACAAAGATGCAGTTGGCTAGGCTCAGGGGTTCAGTAACACCAGGGCCACGGGGTGCCCTGGCACCTTTGGCTGGCCTTACACCTTATTCTACTGCTGCCAGAGGATGCCTACTAGGAACAGCAGAAAAAGCAAACAGCCAGCACTCAGGAAATCCAAAGTCTAGACTGTTCTGCCACAAGAGACCCAATGATCTTCAGAATGTCACTTCAATTCTTTCAAGTAATAAAATAAATGGTGACATAGTAGAGAAATGGGCTCTGGCGTCACATGGTCTCAGGATGACTTATAGGCTGCATCAAGTCCCCAGTGTAGTCTCTAATCTGCATATTAGATCAGACACTATGTGGAGCATGCTTAGCATAGTCCCCGGTGGTTGAAAGCTTTTCAAACAGCAACCTCTCATATACTACGTACTTATCTGGATATAAAACAAAGAGGCTGGAGCAGGTGCCC